AATTGTATTTTCTTGTCTTAACTGTAGCCCCAGAAACTCATTTAGTTGTTGTGGAATAACATTTGAACTTTTTTAGGTCTGGGCTGCACACGCTATCCTCACTGGACTATGGTTTTACTGTATTTTTCACACACATATATTAAATTCTGTGTGGATTACCAACAAGGTTATTACAATCTATTCTAACAATAAGCCATACATCACCAGAGAGTTAAAGGACTTTATCAACCGGGAAAAAATGGCTTTTAGGAATCATGACAGGATGGGGTTAAAATCAGTGCAAAGGGAGCTTAATCAGTCATTAGGGAAGGCAAGAAGGAAACACAGGGATGTCATAGAACAGACTTTTGCTTCTAGGGACTCTAAAAAACTCTGGGTCTCCATGAAAGCTGTAACCAACATGACAACACATAGAAAGTGCCTCATAACATGTGTGAGCTGAGTAAAGCAAACAAACTTAATGATTTCTTTCTCAGGTTTGATACACAGGACTACTCTTTGGAATGCAATAATGTACTACAGTCAATTACAACTGCTGACCCCTGTTCAAGGTTAGTAGTTGATCCCCTCAAAATCCAGTCACTTTTCAGAGTTGCAGATATGGGGCCATGATGGCTTCTCGCTTTTCTCCATGACTTGTGCAGCCAAGACCTAGACCAGCATGGTGCCCTGTGTTTCAGAGGTCTGCAGATTCTCATTTGGTTCCTGTCCTACAGAAAACAATGATTATAGACCGGTGGCTTTAACTTCTGTTGAAAATCTCTTGAAATGCTTTGAACAATGCATGGTATCCGTGTTGAAATCTGAAATGAATTCTGAACTAGATCCACTCCAGTTTGCTTATAGGCAGGGGAGGAGTACAGACGATGCAATTAATAGCATCACCCACCTGACTCTTAAGCATCTGCAGGATCCCAAGGCCTATGCACGCCTTTTGTTCATTGATTTTAGTTCGGCTTTTAATACATTACAGCCTCATCTGCTCTTACAGAAAATGACCCAGATGAATGTTAATCCTTTTATTATTAAGTGGTTTTATTCTTTTTTTAACAGATAGAACCCAAAATGTCAGGATTAACGACTCACTTTCGGAATCCAAATGCATCAGTACAGGTGCACCTCAGGGCTGTGTAAGCTCACCGGTCCTGTTCACCCTTTACACAAACAACTGCACCAATAGTCTCCCGGGCAACCTGTTTTTTGAAATTTTCTAACGACACTGCCATTCTCAGCCTGCTTCAGCTGCTATATGTATTGTATGTTATTTATTGTCTGTAAGGGCAGCTTATTCTATGCACTACGTACTTTGAGTCCATGACAAATTTCCCCTAGGGGACAATAAAGTATTCTATAGAATAGAATATACTTTATTGTCCCCTAGGGGACATTCATTGTTTCCCGCTTCGGATGAGTCAGAACTGCGCAGCCAATGAGGCACAGGATTCTGGAATAAACAAACATGATAAAATAACATCTTAATTAATAAGGAAGATTTTGCTACCTTTGGACGGAGCCTAAGCTAAGCTAACCAGCTGCTGGCTTCAGCTACATACTTATTGTACAGACATGAGAGTGGAATCAATCTTCTCATATAACTCTTGGCAAGAAGTAAGCACATTTCCCAAAATGTCATGTTATCAAGCAGCATAGAACAAATTGTTTTGTTTTTTTCTAAGTTGAATTAAACGAATAAGGTCCCATGTAGCACGTTTTGAAATACAGTATATCGTGTTCAATATGCAAACATTTTGGTGATGACATTAAACTTGTGTTTAATATTGCCAGGGCTTTTCTGTGTATGTGTCAGCCTTAATAAATATCCACTAAATATTACTTATTTTTAGGGTATTCCCATCAAAGACATTCCACACGCAGCTTCTGGGGCGAGCATGCGGAATGCTGAGAGTCTGATTGTATCTGTGCTTATCTGCGTACTGTCACATTCACCATATGGGCCTGTCCAGAGCCTTATAAATAAGATATACCTAGGCAGACTGTCAGAGGCTGGGTACAGGGCACATGGATAAACAGTTAGGGAGTCTACATTTTAAGGTTCAAGGTAACTTATACGCATTGTACAATACAAAACTGCAAGACTTCAAACAAGAATCACATTATCACCTAAAGAATACGGTCGATTTATAGCCATCTTATACAACGTACCAGAAAGTAGTAGGCATACACATATACACCCAAGAAGCTTTGACTCTGTTTGAGCACCAAGTATCATTTACCGTTACTTATATTATTTGGATCATTTTAATTGCCTCCAATAACAATAAATATGATAAGAACTGAGTGAGGCTTAACTGCAACATAAACAAAACGTAGCTGTAAGTTTATAAAGAACTTTGGATATTAATACTACAAATGCATAAAGATTAATAAGAGGTTAAAAGATCTCCATGGGATCATATATGTAAGTCATTGTCAATACTATCACCACTAGCAACAGACGCTTGTAAGCTCATCAAGCAAGTGACCCTGGTGACCGTCTGCTCCTTTTCCCATCTCTCATGTAGATCTTACTTCCCCTCTCAGTATGTACAGTACAGAACATCCTGGTATGTTGGCATTTATCAAGTCTGTGCTCTACAGCTGATGAATGATATCCTTTGGGAGGGAAAACACATTGCTCCTCATATCTTCAAAGCCCAAGCTATTGTTCATACCAGATCGTGCAGACGGACACTGCGTTATCCAGAATGTCAGCATTTAACAGGAGTGTTCGCCACTGAAAATCTAACCCACATTGCATTCTTAATCATAATTTTTATTCCTGCTTTGAACTGTTGATTTGTGGTCTTTTTTCCGCAGTATTGAGCCAGTATGCCTGACTATAACTTAGATTATGTAACATGCGTGACACACCTGAATTATGTTCCCAGAATTCCTAAAAAGTTTTGAATGAGACTTGAGTATACTAAACGCTAAAACAAATAAACAAAAGTATCATTAAAGAAGATGCAGCCCACATTTTCAACATTGCTTCTCAAGCATGACCTATGTCTTAGGGATTATTAAAGGTCAAATGTTTTAAAACATATACTTGTGAATGACTTGAAAGCCTATTTATCACAGGATTACATAAGGCCGTTGTAAATAAATCTAACATCAAACCAAGGAAAACTGTGTTTCTTAGAAGTGGGATGTTGAGGAAAGCGAAATACCTCACTTTTGATGGCCCAGCATGACTTCATGCTATATGTCTACAGTGAATCAGCACGCAACAAGGTCTGACTTCTGACCCTGAAGGTCGCCCCAAAACCTTCAGTGCTCATCGGCTTTAGCTTTCTTCAGCCTCAATAAACAGAGGTTGAAGGTTGCACAGATGGAATGTGGCAGATTACAGATGTTTGACAGACAAATTCCATTAATGTTATCACCCTTTAAGAAAATCTGAGATTTTCTCCACTGCATGGTTTACATGGAGGAGTGTAATGCCAAGGTGATTACACAGTCTGATGGTTTTGGATGGCAGTTGATGAAGAGAGCTGTGGTTGCTAATGGAGCTGCTCTCTGATCCTCTTAAGTTTTAAGTAGCTATTTTAGCCGCTGTGGGGCAGGACCCAGACAGCTTGACTATTGTTGATTAAGGTCATCGAGCAAGAGGTCATGGTGAAAGAAGACTCCTGGAAGAGCTAGTTAAATGAGCTGTCAAACTGTTAGTGCGAGAGTCTCAAACATTTATTTTTTATTTTTGCTCTAAAAACACTACACAACACATGCTTATGTAAGTATGTATGTTGTCTTTGGCCTTCACACATTCCTGTGTGTTTAAGGAGAAAGTCTGCAACAATTAACCATCAAAAGAAGTTTGAATCCACCCATTGAATATCTGAGTCATCCTCAGACCTCAGCTATTGTGACTCCCTTTCCCAGCACAGGCATCTGCTTGCTGGTAAACGATGATCTCTCCTGCATAAAACAGCTTTAGTACATGGGAAAAAATGTTGGACTATTGTTGTACCAAATGTGGTTTTTATCACTGCTTGGCAAATTGTTGTTTTCCAAGATGCCTGCTGTTAGTATATTTTAAAAAGATACTCTTTTCTTTACAACCACCTAAAATTCTATGAAATCACCATAAATGACACTGATACTCCACAGCCGATCTGGACGTTCACCCAAGCATTCCTATTTAGTTTGCAATTTATTGGTTTGTTTTCACTTAGTTTTCATCATGTAGAGTGTAGAACTTTAAGACTTTAAGTGGGATTAAGAGTAGTACAAATAACCTTGGCTTGAAGTAGTATGAAATAGATTTTAAGTCTAATGCACTGCAACTGTCTTGAATTAGGATTGTTCCATATTATCATATACTCTACTCTGAGCAGCTGCAGATATGAATATGTACCACAAGCCTCATTCTGACCCCCAAGTGTAGGTTACTTGTTGCTATTGCCTCTGATTGGCTGTGAGAGTGTTGAGGTAATGGTCTCTCCCCCTCATCTGCTCTCCCGGCTGATAGAAACAGATGAGATAATCCTCTCTTGCTAAGAAATATAGTTAAAAAGCAATTGTGTACATGTCCTTTTATGTGTGCCGCATCCACATGTTGATTTGTGTGCGGGGTGTCTGTTTGCACACGTGTGTGTTTAAATGGTTGTGCAGCGTGTGGGTTGCTGTTAGTTTATTGATGTGTGGGTGCCTTATTAATCTGTAAACAATTGACTCACCATGACCAGTACTGGCGGGAACCTCAAGCCCGTCTTTTGATTAAACAAAGTTATATAACAAAGTTCAGGCCAGGTGGCTTCATGTTTTTTGTGATAAATGGCAGGTATGGAAAACCAGGAATTTCTTTGAGAAACACAGTATGGCTCTTGACCTTGGTGATGCTAGTCTTCTTTAAGGGAGCAGGTGTGCTCTTGTGTAACTTGGTCCTCTAAAATAGAGAGTCAGGAGAGTAAACAGGAGAGTGATGTGTGACACACTCCCTGGGAAATATCATCCGCAAGCTGAACGTGATGTCATCTTTTTTCTCTTGTCTCTCCTAGCTGCTGACTGGGACCCTGGATGGGAAGCTGAGACTGTTTCAGTCCAGCAGTGGGGCCTGTCTGTCTCATGACACCAGTGCTGCTGTGCATAGCGTCCCCAACATGACTGCATAATTACAGCAGGCTGCTGCGAAGACCATGTAGGTTTCATTAAAACATTTCCAACCCCCTGGCTAGGATTTCACTGGGAAAGAAGAACGAAAGGGTTTGTTTTTGGTTATTGGTTAAATGAAGATAGATACAAGTTTAAAGAGGTTTTGTTTTTCTTGTTATATGTGACTTTTGTGTTCTTTTCAAATTGTCAAAAGGACCCACCCATTTAAACATCTTTGTTAAACTTCCAGAATGTAGAGACTGTTTTTCTTTTGACTGAGATTCAAAGTGATATCAGTGGTTTGATTAAATATGTTTTCATTTAACCACATTAGTGTGATGCAATATTTACTCAATTATATGTAATTACAGCTAAATTTGCCAACAACAATTTTATCAGCAGTTATTCCCATACGTTCATCTACATTCTGGATGGTCAAGCATAAGATTTAGTTTGTTCAGTATGTGGAACAGATGTACTTCTGTATCACTGGCTGTGGCCACTATACTTAACAGATCAGCACACAGAGCTATGACATCAACTGGGTGCAACCTCTTTGGCTGCCAGACACACAGATGCTACTACTGTTCACACTGACACACCCATCGTATTGTTTGAGCTGTACATTTACTCTTCTCTACCTCAGTCACAGCAAAATGTCAACTACACTCAATTGTAATAGAGCAGAATAAAAGTATGGGACTCTCATGTTTGTCAAGTATGAATAAATTGTTACATCTTCATCACAGTATTTCTCACAATATGTATTTATGTATGTGTTAATGTATCTGTTTTTACTAGAAGTATATAAGGTGTACCTCAAGGTTCGATTTAAGGACCGCTTCTGTTTTCTTTTTTTATTTATGATTTCTTGATTTTTGGTGATTGTTATTAGTTACATATATACTACAATATATCCATTGAAATTAATATATATACATCAAAGTCCTATTTAGCACTATTACCACATTATATATTTGCCACAGTAACGTGGCCCCAGGTATCCCATACTATATACTATTATATGTACATAAAAACCTCATTCATCACATATTAAAGAGACTTTTCAAACCAACTTTAACATTTTACAAAGTTGACTGTCAGCTAACAAACTCAATAAAACAAAGTCTTACACAATAGTCTTTGGTATGAGAGAGAACCTTAAATCGAAATCCAACTCTCTGGTTTTAGTTTGTAATGATGGTGCATCTCTCCAGAAAGTTGATCAAATGAAATGTCTGGGTTTATGGATTTACTCTGGACTTACTTTTAAACCACACCACATTTTATATGTGCTCATTTTGATACTGGTGTTCTTTATCTTTCCAGAAATTGTTTTGAATTTAACTTCTAGTTCGTTTTGGCCTTTATCATTATTATTATTATTATTTTATTATTTAATCATTGAAAACAAATTACATTTATTGATCATGTTTCAAGTCTCTTTTGTTATTGCTATTTTTATTGAGTTGAGTTTTTTTTTCTTTCACATCATTAAATCCACTTCAATTTTACTTGTTTTGTTTAGGATCACGAACACAATCAAAAGGTTTATGCACAATACCAAAGTAACAACAAGAGACTACATCATGTACGACATTTCAGTGGCAACCACTTTATTTTCTTTGACTCTGGGAGATCAGGCCACAATTTTCACTTTTTCTTGCCCAGAAAAAAACTTTATTTCCTACTGTGGTGCTATTATCACAGCCGACATCTTATAACCCACAGCTGTCTTAAGAGAGGCTAAAGGAAAACTCTACCTATCTGTAATGGAATGAAAACCTCAAGCATCACTCATCCTTCGTCCATTAGGAAAAGACATTGTATTTGACGCACTATCTGACACTGACGCTGATGATAGAATGATAAATCCACTGATAGGCTGCCTTGTCTTAACTCCCTTAGATGGAGGTAAATTTTCAGAAGACTGCTCGTCCCTGCCTTGTCCCCTGTCCAGTATTCTGTGTTTGATTTACTCCGTCTCATTGGACTGTGTTCTTTAATTGATACAGAGGCCGACTGCCTGTGAAGATTGTTCTCTGTGCACCACCAACCTCAGCTGGGCCAGATGAAATATAGCTTTGAAGTTGCACAATATCAGCTGCCAGGTTTCCTATCACAAAAACTGATACTGTTATACATTAAAGAAAGCAGAGCTGAGGCTGCATAGGATTTATGGGGTGGTACCTATTCTTTTGCCATACACATTATGTCTATGTATATGTGTGTACATGTTTTTTATGCCACAAAGATAGGTAGCCTATGTACTGGCAAGGTTGAGTCTGCCCTGTCACGGTGAGCTTTAGTGTTCCTCCAAGCAGCAGAGACTTTCTACTGGAACAAAACATAATAAATTGTCTGTGGAGTAAATTTATGTAGCCATGTTCTTTCTCCATTTTAATGTGCTGGAATGTGTGTGAGTGAGTGAAGGATTCAGTGTCTTCTCTTGAATGAATTAACCTGCTATTTTAAAACTCACTGAGCACACGTTCACAAAGTGATATATTGGTGTACACGCACATTCCTTGTCTGTGTGAGGTTGTTTTGGGCGCACTCCCTGCATTGATCTCACCAGTAAAGAATGATGTGTTTATACTTGCAAATAAAAAGATTTCAAGGATAGCCACGCCTGTACATAATAACGCAATCTGGCCCAGAATTTGATCTCTCACAACATTTTGTCATTCAGTTTGACAAAGAGAAGAACTTAGTCTGCGTCCAAGTTTGCAGTGAACTAGGATACCGGGTATATGACGGACCTGAATAGGGCAGAGTATCACATTTGGGGAAGATACAGTGCAGAATTCAAATCTAGATGTTTATTTTCCATCTGAGCATCATCTACAACTCAAACAATCTGTGCATGCCTCCAACATTGCCTGTAAAGTGTTTTGGACGTCCACTGGCCTGAGCTCCGAATGACAGCCTTCACTCTTCTTCATGACTACTTTATATAAAGAAAACCAAGATATACATCATGTGGCACAAGTAGTTTTATGATTCCCTGAAGGATCTCTCTCTTTTGTTTTCATGAACTCAGAGCAGCCCAAAGTGAAGGGAGGGAAATATTAGTGCACATGTCAAAAACTGCTGTCATGTAGCTGTGACTCATGCAAGTCTTACGTAAAGCTTTTCTAAATATCGTGTAATTTTCTACAAATTATTTAGAAGAAGTAGCCAGGCTAATGGATATTAAAGTGATAATCTTTGACATGAGTCATGTTTGTTTTACTAGGGTTATTGTTGACTGGTGGCTGAACATAACAATTATTCAGCTTATTGGCGAGCTATTTGATGAGAGCTTTCAAAGGCTGCCTTAGACACCTGGTGTAAACTAATGACAGGATCAGACTACATAATATCAGTATGATAATGGCCTGTCATGAAGGATGTGAAGCATCAAGGACAAAAAAGAGCAATTGGTGTGACAATTGCTTGTTTTATCCCATGTAGTGTGTTACATTGGAAGTCAACAGAGGCAGCCTAAAGACCCCTCACAATGTCCCAACAGTCCCAAATACTAGCATGGGACAGTTTTTTGCCAACTTTGCCAACTTTGCCAACTTTGACTTATTGCATGAGGCTGATCTACAGGAGCACAGGGCACTAATGCACACACAACTGTAAACACGGTGAAGCAAAAGAGGTGTAATGTGGTATGTGCTGTCAGGCTGAACATTAAAGTTACACCATGGTGCCTCCTTTCTCATTACCTATACACCACATGAGTTGTGAAAGAGGGTAAGAACGGTCAGGGTCCTTGTGTGGTCTGCCATGTCACTCAGCCAACTCATGGCAACAATTTATGACTCTTTAATTAAGTAATTCGACATGACATGATTAACTTGAAAGTAAAAAAAAAAATGTTTTCACCTGCATACATTTTATGTAGGGGTGAAACGTAACAGAAATGTAGCAACATTTACTCAAGCACTATACAGTATTTGTTGGTACGCATCGGAGTGTTACAATTTCCTGCTACTTGCTTAACATTTTTAGAGGGTAATATTGTACTTTTTACTTAAAATTAGGTCAGTCTTAACCAAATTCAATATTGAAATGCTGTTAAGTTAATGCATCAATTATGAAAACATATATAATACTCTATTCAGCATAATGAGTATGTTTACTTTTGATACTTAAAAGTGTATTTTACTGATAAAAGACCAAGTACTTTTACTTAAGTACAATTTTGTATCTCTAATGGCAGCATAAGTAGTGTGCTTGGAAACCAATAGTTGGCAGTTAGCATGAGCAGCAATAGCCACAAAAGCTAAAAAAAGAAAACAGTGCCACCTGCAGACAGTCAAACATCATCAGCATTCACTCAAACTCCAAAGTAAAAAGCTGTATTACGCTGTCACTGTAGCACCAAAAAGAAATATTTGAAAAGAGCTGTGTAAAAACACCACAGCAGTGAGCAGTGTAGTCTTATCTCTGTACATTACTTTACAATCGAAACAGGGAAAGAAAAAAAAACACTGAATATATAAAACACATCCTCCCTACATGTCTGCAAGGGAATCTTATCATACACATGTTCATGATTCGCATACATTTCTTGGTGAATATGTTAACAAAAAGCGTTAAAGAAAAGAAATGGCACAAGTGTTAGCGGCCTGTGTTTCTCCTTATGTGGTCTACAAATTAGACAGTCATATTTTTGGCTTGAATGATACACCACATACCATAGTGTTCAGTATCTCTTAGAGTAACTCTTTCTGACTACAGTATACAAGGTAACTGTAAAGGATGTACATTGATTGTAAGCTATAGAGGGACTAGTGAATATTGGTGATGGATGATCCAGATGGAGCCAGACAGGGAAATCAGTGTCTTTGTACTTGACTCTGTCCCGAGATGTTCTGGGCTGCTGTGTGCAGACAACGACGGAAATACCGATTAGTAGCAGATGGTGTCATCCAGGGTACAAGGCATAAACATTCGAGTGCTTAACACTCAGATAAATCAACACAAGACCCTCATGGAGTTAGCGGGAAAAATGGGGAAAACAGGAGCACGTAACACGAGGTGCCAGATTGCTGAAATAGAATGGGGTCACTTAGGAACCCTGTCGAGCTTTTGAAATCCCTTCAAATAGAAGCTCTTTGAGCAACAATCTTTAATAAAATAAAAATAAAAAAATAAAATAAATTGATAAGTTTGCTCCATTAATTCCTCTTTTAGTACTCTTTGGCAAATTTAAAGGCCTATTAAAGCCATGTGTGAGTCCAAACTGCACGATGAGACTTAAGGTTATTCTGAGTTTTTCGTTTGAGTCGAAGAACCACGTTGCTGAGTGCACAGTCTTTCTTCAATGTCTTCATGAGGTTAAGACAGTTCGTCAGCTCCATTAAGCCAAGGTGCAAGGGTGAGATGAGATGATAGTTTGGCATCTGAGTGTAAACCATCAAGTCTCTGCACATTTCTCAGGTTCATTAACTCACCCCATCAACCTAAACTCCAACCTCTCACTGACACAAAGATAGCATTTCAACAGCAAACTCTACCATTAGCAAATTCCTTTGTTTTTATGACAGAATTTATTTCCTCAAAGAGGCAATTTTATGTTTTCCTCTTTAATCATGTTTAACCAAGCTGGAGAATTAACAGCACATGTGGTTGAGCTCCACTTCACTGTATGGATGTAATTGGTACGCATGTCTCTGTATAGCTTGTTAATCTTTCTGCTATCAATTTGTGAAATTACAATTGTTACATAACATTGAGCTTTGGTTCTTAATCTTTTACTTTTGCCATAAATGAACAAAGACAAAAGCTCCAAAGAGGATGATGTGATCAAAGTTACTGCTCAGGTTTAGCGTGCCGGCAACGTTTGAAAACGCATCAAAGTGAGTGATATAAAAGCCCAAATATATCATCTGTCATTCAGTACTTGAACTTAGTTTTCAGGTTGTGTGGTTGCCAACCAACCATGGCTATCACCTGCCTGACTAACTTAAATTTGAGGAATAACTTCAGGTTGTGGCATTACTTTGTTTCATATTGTGCCAGGTTTTCATACCCTCGAATGAACTCCAATTCAGCAGCAAGGAAAATGTCTCAAAATCTAGGTATTGCAGGGAATGTTATTCCTTCACCATGGCTGCATCACACTCATTTACCCTAAATGCTTAAAACCTTCGGTGTACAGATAGAAGCAGGGTGCCAACAACAAAACCTGGAGTCAATAATGAGCAGGAAATTCTCCTCTGGAACATTTGGTATTCTTCAACTCATCATTCCTGCTAACTGCTCCTATCCTCACTGTGTTTTCAATGGGCTCTTGTATCAAAGTCCGATGTGCGGTACGGAGTTTGTTCCACATATGTGGTGCATAAAAACTGAAAGTGGCTTCTCCGTGTTAATTTGAAATGTGGACAGTAAATAGACCTGTCCCAGACCATCTGGGAGGTCTGGATGTTGCATAACGGAGCAGCACATAAGAATTAATTTGGCCCTAAACCATTCAGTCCTCTATAAACTAATAGCGGTATTTTAAAGTAGATCTGAGAACTGAAGTGATGTGATCAACTCCTGGTCTGAGCGAGGACTAGCAGCAGCGTTCTGAATCAGCTGCAGCTGTCTGATCGACTTTTTAGAGAGACCTGTAAAGATAGGATTGCAGGATTCGAGCCTACTGAGGGTAAAAGCATGGACAAGGTTTTCTAAATCCCACATAAGTAATCTAATTCTTCATATATTCTTAAGGTGATAGTAGGCGGATTCCTGGCTTGGTTTGTGGTCTTTAACATTAGCAACCAAAGCTGTGCACACACTTTTAGTTGTTTTTTCTTTAACTCCAAAAACAGCTAGTTCAGTTTTATCTTTTAACTTTTTCACACATCCATTGACAGGCAGGAAAACTTAGACATTGGACGACTTCTATCTCCTCCTTTATGCACGTCTGGACATGCGCCAAAGTCCAGACGTGAGGGACTGTGCTAGAGAAAATGTAGAGGTTAAGAATATACCATATTTAGTGTATTCTACAATGGCGGGTGTGGAAAGTTTAAGAAAGAAAGGACCCAAGTTGTCCTCACCCATCAGCTTCCTAAAATCTGTTGCTTGTAAGACCATAAGAACAGCGTGTGCACTGAGAGGCTGAATAATGAACAAAGAACTGGAGGAGGCTATGTGAGTATGGTTGCTGTGTGGAGGTGGAGTCCCTGTAGTGTCAAATAAATGGTCAGCTGCAGAAAAGTATTTATTGAAAGCTGAAGTAGATCTCATTTTAATTTAATCCTACAGGACCATCAGAATTAACGCTTGGAGGTAAGGAGGGGGTGAATTTGTTTTAATAAAACCTTCCAGAA